GTGCGGAAGTCGGAATTGAGGCGCTGCCTCCCGCTGCTTGAAGAGTGTTTTGGCATCATGTGGCTGTGAAGTAATGAACAAATACGTATATTTATACATATAATTAATTAGGCTTAAGAACAGGGTGCATACTACTCATGCATACTAAAATATTTTATTAAGTAATTAATTGTGCTGATTAATTATATTATACTTAATTTGAAAAGTACGTGGTTTTGTAATCCATGCCAATAAATACACGCACGCACGCGCACGCACACATATATATCCTTGATCCTGATTTGGGTCTCTGGAATCAGTAGGCCAGCGGTTTTGTTATGAATTATGATCACTCTAGTCTCTTGCTCTCACTCCATGAAAGAAAGAAAATAAATAAATAGCATGCTTACATATGTATATATACACATATACGTGTGTGTATGCACACACTTATAAAATATCTTATAAACGAGGTCTTATAATTAAGACAAAAAATAGTATTCCTCCGGTCTTTAATATAAGACTCAATTGTTAGTTGGTTTTGGTTCTAAATATAAGACCTATTTTTTATATTTATTAATTTTCTCTAAATTACCCGTATAAATACTTCTTCAACCATAATCAAGTAAAAAAAGGAGATAATGTATTAAGAAAGATGATTATAGTGTTTTAAGAAAAATGTTTACATTTTTTATAATTAATTAACTTACCTAATTTTCTTAATCTAATCAAATTAGTTAAATATGTCTTATATTAAAAATCAGAGGAGTTTTAATCAGAATATCTGTATAAAGTAAGTGAACCTTACATTTTTCAACGTGCTTCTTACTATGTTGGTTCTTGTTTTCTGACTGCTTAATGTGGCTGGAGTGTGTACGTTTAATTTACAATTTCAGTTCCAATGAAACTGCTTTTTGGTAACTTGTGATAATTGAATCAAGTCGAGGATCAATATTGTGCTGCTTAATATAAAATCTACATTGACTAATTTAAATATATTAAGAAAATTAATTACATAAGCTATTTGTTAAAAATATACTACATCTGATTCTAATTATAAAACCTTACTTATAAACAACAAATAAGATCTTGGATCAGAGATGGCATACCAGCCTTTTTAAAATATCTTCTAAAATCATTTGCATTGAAACTATGCAAACTTTAGATATAATTTTTTAAAAAAATAAATAAGAAATAATAGATTAAGATATTATATTTAAAACTAAATTCAATCCAAACTAACTTTTATATAATAATGGCATATAATATTTAATTAAATTGACTACGTAGTGTAGCGTGTTGGTAATTTGAGGTGCACGGGCAGTGCATGGTCATGTGCGCAAAACAAATGGGGAATGTGCTTCTTTTTTTTTGTTGAACCAGCAATACAAATGGGGGATGTTAATGGTTGACCTAAGATTAATTAATATATTACGATTTTTTTTTTTATAAAAACACTAAGGGGGTGTTTGGCAAACCTTGAAAAAAAACTTTTGGAGCTCAAACCAAGATTTGCCTCCAAAGATATCCAAACACCCCTTAATTTTTTGAAACCATGGTTTTGTTATAGGCAAAAAAATTTCACTTTTTGAATGAGTATGGACATTGTCAGCGAAAGCAAGGAGCTATCTTCATGTCTTTACATTTCTCTTTCTTTCTTCTTCCTAATTTTTTTGTTTTTTGACCTTGAAATTTTTTTTTATTTTTTAAAAACATATTTAATCTTATATTTTATAAATATATATACACATATTAATTATTTATTAATTACATTATCTTATATATTATTAATTATATTGGTAAAAATATATTATTAACGTTTTATTCCTTCAAATTAAAATATATTATAAGATCTATTTTTTATATAATTATCATATTAACTTATGCTCTTTTTAGTAATTTGCACATAAAAAAAAAACTTCTGATAATAACTATCCAAACACTCACTTCTCAGAATCACTTTTTCACAAGATCTATTCTTCACAAAATATATTCTTCCCAAAATCTATTCTCCAAACTATGACTTGGCTTCATCCAAATCATGGTTTAATTTCATCCAGAAGCTATTCTCCAAAGTCTAATAACTAGCTAGCTTGCCCCACAAATAAGTTTGCTTTTGAGTCATCAAACATTTTTACCGGAAAAATACAAAAGAAAAAGGCCCCAAATTAATTACAAAAATAAGGCAATTAATTACACGAATTAATTTGGGATTTTGTTAAAAAGATCCCAAAGAATTGTCTAAAAGCGAAAACCCTAATGTGCAGTCCAAAATTGGTCCCGTCGAGATTAATTAGGTGGACCTATTAATTAATTAAAATCCACCACAAATACTCAACGAGCAAACACCTAACTTGACTCTAATTGTAGCTTCCCCCAGTGAAGTGATTAGTAAATTAGCCAGCTTTCGATTTGATTTAAGAAACTATTAAAAGTTGAGTTAACTTGGCCCAAAAACAGAACGGGTTGAGTTAGTTTGGCCTCAAAACAGAAGGTGTTAGTTTCTCACAATGTAGCAATAAATTAATATTCAAATTTCTGTTAAAAAAAGTATTCACATTTAATACTCGATAGTATCTTGAATAGAATTGCATGTATCAACAAAAAAAATGACCCCAAAAATCATGTTTATGGATGAATTGTATTCACATATCATAGAATAGAGATCTTCAATGTTTATTATTAAAATTTATCTAACTTATTTTTATATAAACTGAACATCATAGTATCGTATCAAATTATTTCAACCAAATCTTAAATTTTCAATTACTTGTATTTGTTTTAAATATTACTCCTCTGGTACTTAATATATGACTTAATTATTGGGTTGATTTTGTTCTTAAATATAATAAGACCTGTTTTTTATATTTATTAATTTTTTCTAAATTACCCCATGGATACTCCCTCAACCATAATCAAATAGAAGATGGAGACACGATATTAAGAAAGATGTTATATTTTTTATAATTAACTAACTTACCTAACTTTCTTAATCTAATCAAATTAGTTAAATATGTCTTATATTAAGGATCAAAAGAATATTTCTATCTTAATTACAAGACATCACATACATGTACAATTCGGGGAGCCTAAAAATGATAATTTTTTTATAACAAGTTTTATTTTAAAAATTAAACAAAATATGTAAGCATTTGAAAATATCTTATCAATATTTCAACACCAGCATTTTTTCAACGGCATTAGACTTACAAAAAAAAAACACTTTATAAAATTAAGGAATCAAAATAAATATTATATAAAGCTAAACTGACAAACAATATTTTTGCCACCGATTTGGCGCGATTGGATTTGCCAAAGAACGACAAATGCGGCTCATAAAGATTCATTGACGACATTACTTATAATAACACGCATATTCCTACAAAATCAAACAATTCAAATATTAATAAAAAATGATTAAATATTTTTTTGAAAAAATGAATCAGTTTCACAATTATTTGTGAGATTTTAATAAATGCTGGGTGGTTGGGTTTGAATGAAACAATGACACTGTCATCTCTGGTGACGTCATGACAATGACTAAAGTGAAGCCTTTCACTCACAAGTCATAATAAAGCCAGTGCCCTCCAATGGAGGGGCGATACACGGCAACCATTGAGGAAGAAGATAGCCCACCAGCGTTTGCCTCAATCAAATTCACATCTTTATTTATTTATTTATTTATTTTTTTACCAGCAATTCACATCTTTATTTTAATGTCTCTCATCTTCCTTTTGCTGTTATTTTTCTGTGATTGATCAATTCCTCAACACAAACTAAAACATTCCATTAATTAGTAGCCGGAATATTAGGTTTTTCCCTTTAAATTAAGAGAGGATTTGAGTAAAAACCTAACCATGATTTTAAAAGTGATTTTTTGATATAATATATAAATATGTGAAATAATTTTTATTTTTACTTGTATGAAAACACTTTTTAAAAGTGTTGAAGTCATTAAGTTCTTATTTTTTTCCCCCTGACCACGAGTCATGTTTGGGGCCCTTGATGTCTTGAAATGTTGTTGGGCCTTTTGAAGCCCAATATTACTTCCCATACCAAAGCCCATTTGACCCAACAAAGCAAAGATAAATATCCGAGGAAACGACCCTTTTCTAGGGGAGAATTCCTTTTGTCCCCCCCCTATTTTCCCATCTGTCTTTCTTTTTTTAGGGATCCACAGTAATTCCATTTGGCCAAAAACCTGTTTATTTCTGTCACCATCTCAAACATCGTTTTGTTGAACAAGTCACAACTTTTTTTTTCCCACTTCCCAGTCATAGTTTCAAGCTTTTCAGCCTTTTTAATATCATCTCAATCTCAAACATGCTCACCTTATCTCTATTAATTTATTTAGATATTCCCTTTGACGTCATTTATTTATTTCGTAAAAATCGACAAGGCTATCATACATCATCTTTCTTGCCTTTGATTTACTTTGGCCCTGAATATATCATGGTCCTTCCTCCTTATTGAGTTGAGTCTTCTTTTTTGGGCCTGATATTGAGTTGGGTCTTCTATTTTGCTTGATCACAAGTCAGAAACAATTTAATTAACGCCTTGTCCTGGGGCGCGTAGTTGAATTAAAACGTGGAATCATTTAACGACTTTTCGGCTTCTCGTCGCGGTGCCTCCGGACTCCAGGGAATTGACACGCTTCGAAATTCTGCATCTCCCGCCAAACGTGGAAGATTTGAAGCTGAAAGTACATTCCAGCGAATAATTTTACAGTTTCCTGGTTTTCTTCTTCGGTGCTCGCAGTGAATTTAAAACTGTCAGTTTATCAAACGCATTACTGTCCCTCGCACTACTATTCTGATGGTAGCATGCCGTCTTTGATCTTTTCAAGCTCCGGCAAGTGATTATCTGGAATGCTTCTTAGCGCGCCTCTCGGTTCAATCATTTCGTGCTTTAAAAGTTTATTTCTTCTCGTGCTTCCGCCGATTACGTTATTAGATTTAGAGTGACTAATACAGCCAAATTATACCATCTTAACATTGAAATTTTTTTACAGGCTCTAATGGTGTTACCACACACAGCTCTGTTCTGGTATATGCCGTAGAGTAGTACTATATAATGGAGAACGAGATGCTGCTACGGAATGAATTCTCTGTATTATATTTCTGGTCCTTTGCTGTCCATGTGGTAGTTGGTTAATGCCAAACGTGAATTTACACACAGTTTGCTTCAATTTCCTCTACTTCTAATTTCTTTTCTTCTCCCTCCTCCTCATAGGCATGCCATCTTGGTGTGGAAGTCTTCCCCCAAAGAGGAGAAGAGGAAAGAAAACAAGGAAAGCATTGTTTATACGACGCAGTGCAAGTTAAAAGGCACTTCTGAAAACAAGTGGAACAACGGATTGGGAGGATCTAGGAGACATCTTATCATATTGCCTCGGATAAGGGATCACTATCTCCTGTGTTTTCTGGATCAGCATCTCCCTCAACACGTCTCCCGATGTCAAAGTTTTGTAGATGGCTGAGCATGAGTTCTATATGCCCTTTTGGGGATGAGAGTGAGGAAAACAAGTGTGTGTTCCGTGGTTGCACGAATGCTAGAGAAATCTGGCTATTTTTCTCTGGAAATTTGCAGGATTGGATGAACTGGGATTCAAGGCATGAGGCTGGATGTAGCAAAGTACAACGCTGGACATGGAGGAAGCAGTATTGGCGGGCTGAAAAGTGCATGCCTGTTCAAGCTTCTGGAGGATACAGCAAATAAGGACTTCAACAACAGGATGTTCAATCCAGCTCCAAAGGGAGCGCTTAAAATGGATGCCATCACCGGAGTGATGTCTGGGAATTGATGTGGATGCTTCTGTGGACATACAGCAGCACGATGCTTGCGGAGGAACAATACGAGATACTGAAGCTATTTGGGTCATAGGAACAACACCACACGTTGAAATTTCTAATGGCCAGAAACTTGTCATGTTCTACAAAGTTTTCTCACCTAGAAACAGTCGGATATAGTTTTCTCACCCCCGATTACACTATATTACATCACATTACATCCTCCTGATTCTTTTTCTTTACGACTACTTTGGATCTGTCAGGCTCAAACTGAATTCCCAGAGTTTTCTGGCCAATTCTGAATCTGTAGCCAGAGAGCTTGGTTTTGCCTTGTTGCTATCCATAAAGTATTCACCAGATACTCCCTTGACTTGTGGATGCAATGCCACGTAACATTGAGTTGCAGCTCCCTAAAAACACCCCACAGGATTCAATATGAAATATTAAGAATTTAAATGACAGAAAAACCACATCATCGGCAGCAAAAGGCATCAATGTCACCTCCACACACTACCCCTGCTATGCTCATGAATGTTACAACTTACCTGCTGCACATTTTTAAGGAAGAACTTCCCCACTGCGCCAGCAACGGCTGCACAGTCCGAGTAATAGATGCATTATTATAGAACAAAAATCGAGAAGTAAGAATACTTTAATGCACATATTGGCATCAGATTAATAGAATAAAGGATACCATTAAAGTAACCATGATACCGAAGAATATTTGTTACAATCGTCCCTGGATGAAGGGAGTTAACAGTTATTTCCACTTCTTCTTCCTGACAAACAAAAAAACAACAAAATAAAAAATTATACATCCAATTCAACCAGTCAGTCAACAGATGAATGCCAGAGGAATGGAAGACCTCTCCAAATGCAGAGCATGCACAGACACAGGGTCTAAAGATAGTGTTTAACAACATGGGCAGCATGGAAATTATGCTTCTAATTTCTACAAGGAGGAGGGAAAATGTCCTAAAATAATAATGGCATATTATCTTTGCAATCAACTGCAATGTGAAGGTTATCTTAGCTAATAAATCAGTGAAATATAAGAAAAATGACACTTAAAGCTTATGAAATTAACAGCTGAGAGAACCTTAAAAAACAAAATCACCCCCCGAGACTATAGCAGTAAGTTATCACTGATATTTTATAAAGCTATTAATCATGCTTGCTAAAGTTACGATCTGGTCTTCCCAACGTCATCTATAGGAATAGTGAAACATCCAAAAACATACTTATAACATCTAGAAGACTGGTATGTAATTTCAGAAAGCATGAATTTTAACTGTGAGAAGTACCAGTAATAAATTTTTATGATTCTTAGAATATACTTTAGTCTTTAAGGCCATTGACGGTCAATTTTATAAAAGACCCTCAAATATCATTTTCTTAAGTAATATAAACATCAGTAAAACCATGTGAAGCTCAGAAAGATTAAGAAATATTGATATACTTTGACAGCAATTTGTTTAATGAGTTGGTATAGCTATGTCTACTCATGATATTATGTTAAAAACACATGAAATCAAAAATTAATTATGACCATTTACAAGTAGAATCAAAATAATTAATCTGACAGCAATTTATTTAATAAGTTGCTATAGCTATGTCTACCGAAGATATTAAGTTAAAAACACATGAAATAGGAAAAAAAATAATTATGACCATTTACAAGTAGAATACCTTCAAGCGTCTTGAAAGCTCTTTTGCATGCAAAATATTAGCAAGCTTTGATTGTCCATAAGCAAGATAACTGTTGTATCTGTAAATAATCAAACAGACAAAGCGGAAGCATTCCATTTTGAGAATCATACATACATACATACATACATATATATATATATATATATATATCAAATGGTAACATCAAGAAAGCACCTCTATAGCATGAGTTTAGTAGCAGATGGAAAGAGGGGGGAAAGCAAAAATTTATTTAGCTAGAGCATACCCTGATTCATCATTGATCTTATCAAAACAAATTCCCTCTTTATATGCAAATCTGTGTGCCTTCGATGATACGATAACTATTCTTCCCTCCCGCTTGCATTCGTGCACAGTTTTCTTCATAGTTTCCAATAAAAGGTTTGTTAAGAGAAAATGACCTGCAAAATAGCATTAATCCTTAAAATTCCTAATTGTACATCATAGGAAGTAAATATAATCGATATGAATCGTTCAAAGATAAGGTGAGGAGAACATATGATATCCTAGTTCATTACCTACATGATTGGTTGCAAACTGCAACTCAATGTTGTCTTCAGAAAGTGTGAAGGGGGCAGCCATGATTCCTGCATTATTACTTCAGCCGAAAAATTCATTTCAACTCTTTCAACATCAACAAAGACGGGAGTTTCTCTCTATGCAATATTCTTAATCATATTCCTTTAGTATCCCAAACAAAGTGAAGTGTTGCAAGAAGAGTGGAAGACTGCATTAGCAAATTTCATAACGAGTTTCCGAAGGCAACGCAGGAAGCAAAAGGGTGGTAAATCAATATCTATTTCTTACAAACATGGAGCATTCACTAATCAGAAGATATCAATCAATAGAAATTAACCACTTGGATACACATGCATAGATCAAGAGAATATAAAGAGAGCTAGAATTAACAAAAAGAGCTGCAATTTAGAGGCTCAAAACCACTATTGCTAAACGTTCATACATCAGGAGATTAAGAGGCAAACCAGATATTTCTAAACAGCTTACATTAGGATATTAAGACGCAGACCAGAGGAATTGTAATCTGCAGCGAATTTCCTTACTGACGCCATTGAGCTAAGATCTAACTTCATGACATCAATTTTGGCAGAAGGCATTTCCTCGAGCATTTTGTTTTTGACGCTCATACCAGAGTCCACATTCCTTACTGCCATAACCACATGGACGCCACGCAATGCTAGAACTCGGGTCGTTTCAAGACCAAGACCATTGGATGCCCCTGAAACTCAACTAAATGTGAGTACTGAGGGAAGATGGTGGGTACATATTCCATTTTCAGATACCATCCAAGTCATTAAAAGTTGTGTGGTATATTATACAATGTTGAATTGCATTTTGACTAGACAGGCTTAGTAACATATGACAGGAAAAAAAGATTTTCTTTTCAATTTTGTTTTTAGTTAAAAAAGTTTGGTCCTTATTGCCAATCAACCATAACCTCAACATGTTCGATGATCAGAGAGCAGCTATAGCTATATAGTCTAAATATCGAGCTCTTATCATCTCCCTCCCAATCCTGTCCACATATAAAAGTATTCAAGACATTATCCAGCACTGTTAGATTATGACTTCAGAAGTACAGACCCTTCGATGAGAGTATCCGCACCATCAGAAATAAGTTCGGCCCGGAACACTGACCAGAGTCAGAAAAGGGGAAATCCACATCAAACAAATAAAGATTTTCCGGTTTTATTAATTCATGAGCTAATCTTCTTTACTACAAGTGTTTGGTTTGGTCGAGAGGGAATAAATATCCAGCCATCGCTAATCACTGATCCTCATAGTAAAGCGATCTTATTTGTGTACAGTAGCCAATCACAAGGTGGAATAAGAAAATAGAGAAGAAAACCTGTGACGATGGCAGTGAGACCGTTTCCATCGATTCCTTCAGTAACTTGCTCCGCAGTGGAAGTGGCTGAGAATCCAGATGGTCCCCTGCAACCAAACATCCACATTTTTTTTTTCTTGGTTCGCAAAGAACACGATCACGCCCTCCAAGTGCAGTCCAGGAGCAGAGCAGAGCAGACTCATCGCATCATTTTCGTCACTATTTATATCTCACTATTTTGCCAGGGACAAAAGCGTACTTTGGCCTCATGTGGGTCAGCTTTTTTGCCCAGAAACATTATAAAAATTAGGGTCTCCATGGAATGCCAGTTTATAAACTTTTTTTTTTCTGCCAGTACATCACTTCAGCGTTAACCTCGGGGAGAAGTTAATCGGTGGAATGCCAATTTTCAATTGTTTGTGGTCCACAAACTTTTTGGCCCAGAAACATTATAAAAGCTAAGATCTTCATGGAATGCCAATTTATGAACTTTTTTTTTTCTGCCAGTAAATCACTTCAGCATTAACCTCGGGGAGAAGTTTATCGGTGGAATGCCAATTTCGATTTGTTTGAGGCCTCTTGGGGCGGTTTCTCATTATATCAATTAGCATTCAATTCAACGTTCTTCGAAAACATCAATGTTAGTGTTTAAAACTATCTTCATTTAATTTTTATTTTAATTCTAAATATAAAACTGTTTTTCATATTTTTTTAAATTCTAATTAATACACTTAATTAGGAAGGATATTTAAAAAAAACCTTTATTTATTACAAATAAATAACTTAATTTCTTTCTTTAATCTCCTCAAATTAATTAACTAGTTCTTATAATAAAGACCGGAACTAGTATTAGGAATCGGTGAAACGTTTTCGTGTTACAGACTGCTGAATTCAGGCATTAAATTTCTTAATCTGGCATTGGTCCAAAGCCGATAGCCATGTTTCCTTCAAGTATTTCCCGCCTGTCATGCTTCACATAGGTGGCTCATCTTTACCAAAATCACTGTTCATTTCACTAGCTATTATTATCAGTTCAGAAGGATGGTTTGCATTGAGGAACTAAAGAGGAATCATGGATAGAAAAAAGCAAAAAATAGACATATTAAAGAATTCTACATTCAAAGTTTGACACACAAAGGAAGAGGTCATCACTCATAATTTACACACACACAGACAGACACAAGAACAAAAATTAAGGATGTCCAAGTAATACGAAAAGATGCAGAGCAAAGATGATGAGGGTCTCAAGCCCTAGACTTGAAAGGAATGGCTCGGATGACTATCTGGTGATATACAGCAGCAAGGAAAGCTCCAGTGAAAGGTCCAACCCAGAATATCCACTGCACGCAAATATATGGGGACATGGAATTTAGTTTTAGGCAAAAGGAATCAAGCAAACAACTTGATTAATGATAAAGATTCAGAAAGAGGAGAACATTACATGATCATTCCATGCAGCGTCCCTGTTGTAGATGATAGCAGCACCCAAACTCCTTGCTGGGTTTATACTTGTTCCTGTGATGGGAATGGTTGCCAAGTGCACCAAGAACACAGCAAATCCGATGGGAAGAGGAGCCAAAAGCTACAATTACACCACAGAACACCCAACAACAACATAGGTTAAGTCCTGCTCATAAAACATCACAAGCGTTCCATGCCAGCTTTGGTTTTGAGTTTTACAATTAAGCAAGCAGAGCCAGAAAATCCGTTGGCCAAAACAAAATTTCCAGAAAATCCACTATCTTGTTAAAATATTCCGTTGTAGAAGATAACTGAACAGAGTTAAACCAGTTGAACTAGAGAACTAACAGATTATTTATCAATTATGTAACTTGGTAACTACCCTAATCTATTCAAATTACGATAAAGGACTTGCTTTTGTAGGTAACTCATTCGTACAAATTATCGAGGACTAACAACCCTAGAGCTTTAGCACTTAAATGCAGCAACACAACTGGAACAGTGAAAATATTGAAGAAAATGAAACAAGTAGATGTAAGATAGGCAAGAATACATACAGGGACGTGAGAGTCTCTAGCGTTTCTCTTAGCATCAGTGGCAGAAAACACTGTGTAGACAAGGATGAAGGTGCCAACAATCTCAGCTCCAAGAGCATCGCCCTTAGTGTATCCATGGTTTACCATATTTGCCCCTCCACTAAACATCTCATACCGAGCATTACCCTCAAAACCCTTCACAACACCAGCACCACATATGGCTCCAAGACACTGCATCACCATGTAGAACAGTGCTCTTGTGAGGGACAGCTTCCTTGCCAAGAACAGACCAAAGGTCACTGCTGGGTTGATGTGTCCACCTGTTTTAACCAAACCAAACCAACGTTTACTCAGATCTGAACTTCCAAAACTAGAATTTAACTAACCTAACCCAACAGATTTGAAGCTGGAAGGAAAAAAAGAGGGAAGGTGTTACCTGAGATTCCAGCAGTACAGTAGACAAGAGCGAAAATCATACCACCAAAGGCCCAGGCAATTCCTTGGATGCCAACAGAGGCACACTTTGGTGACCTCTTGACACCCATGACAGTCAAGATGGTGATGTAGAGGAACAAGAAGGTGGCGACGAACTCTGCGATACCGGCTCTGTAGAAAGACCATGACTTGAGCTCACCTGGCTCGAACAAGGGTGCCGGTGGTGGCTCCTTATAGTCCTTGTCGGTCTGAGCAGACGTGCCCAACGGCTGCCTCTCTGAGAATTTGTTTGCTCCGACCCTCACATCTTCCTTCGTGTCCATGGTTGCTCACTCAAGCTCTCTCCCCAGAATAAGCTTCTTCCTTTCACCCAGCCCTCAAAGCAAGTTTCAGTGGATACAGATGAATAGGATGATTTGAGGCGTTTTATAGTGGAAGTGGTCACTGTGCTTTTTCCTGCCAAATAACAATAATGGACCACAGTCACTTCTGCGGCACGCAGTGCCAGTACAGATGCATGTATTGAGTGATTTTTCGCTCGTTTGAGTATATTCTAATATTTTCTATTTGATTTGAATAATTCTAAAATTATGGAACAGGGGCTTGTATCGGTAATTAATTCATCATCAGCATGACAGTATAGTATGCTGAAAAAAAAAAATTTACACTGGCCTATCTGCTTAAAAATTCCTTTTTTTTTTTCGCTGCCGATACTGTTAAGAAAAGAGTGAACAAACTATAAATACAGCTTCTATTATGATTGTAAAGTCTTTTATATATATAAAATCCTAACAGGACATCATTGGATCCTTTAACAATAGACGCCATGCCATCCTTTTGCATGCACATTAGTAATTAGTAATAGTCTGTAGTTTCACTGCGCATTTATTATGCCTTCCCCGGAGAAAAAGAAAAGAAAAAGACAAACTTTTTATGCTTTAATCAGCTTTAATCAAGGGGCTTAATTTTATGACAGCGGGTAATTAGAGAGCGAAGAAAGTTATAATGGAAGGATTAGGATTTTTCTGGAAAGAGGAGGAAGGGGGGATGTTGGTGGGCTGTAGTTGGGATGTCTGCGTTGTTTTGTTCTTATATAAGACGCAGGGTGTCATCCTTGTCATTCTCTTCTGTCTTTAAATGATTTTGTCTTCAGATTTAATTTAATTTTATACCGTTTGATTAGCTGTTAGGAGCCGTTTGGTGGTTGAAGGAACCTCAATAAAGTTACATTTTCTCTTGTACCATCTCAAGCCCGGATTTCATCTAAACATGTCTAGTAAACACGTGGTCTCTAGAACAATTTACTCCTTTCAATACTTGAAAGGGACATACTAGTATCATTTTTTTCACTCCTGAATCTTAACCATTCACGCGTGTATTTAGCGAACAAAAAGTAAATGCCAGCTTGAAGAAGCCCTTCAAAAGATGGCTGTTAGGTGGCGACCGTTGGGAAAGTGACAAGACAGCTCTTGGTGGGGCACATACCCTAGAGTTTTCTGCATTGCTCATGAAACCCTATTTACCGTTGCACAAGCTTTTGCCTTGCCTTGTGCCGCGTTACACACTCTGAAGACGTTGTCCATTACCAGAATGCCCCCCAAATTCAACCACAATCCCCTTATTTTGAATTTCCGTCACTCACTATTCAACCATAATCCCCTCATTTTGAATGTCCGTCACTCACTATGTAGTATGGTTTTGCTCAAAAGCATTAAAAGGTCATATAATTATTTTGCTGGGCCAAAGACACCATGGATTCCGTTGTATTTTGAATAAATGAAGTATTTAATTTATTCCCCCAAAGATATAGTGGAACTACCTTCCTTTCATTTATTTTCTAAACGCGAATGGCTCGTTTGGTAAGTGACGAACATAAAAGCAAGAGATGGGGATTCACAAAAAAGCACACACCGCTTTGATTTTTTTTTTTCCCCTTTTGTTTGCATGATAGACACATCTCTTATCTCTTAGTTTCAGAATATATCAATTTACTATCTTAGATTTTTTTTTCCCGCTCCTATTTCGCGATCCCTTGTCACCCACGAACTCAGCTGAAAAGGAGTAGAGTTCTGGTCTTTTGGAGTTCTCTGGATTTTTAAATGCCGTGTGGAGATCCTCAACTTCACTCTCACACATTTATTCCGTTGGGAATGAGACGGAGCTATCTCAGCCGTCGGATTAACTCCACATCCCTATAATTCTACCGAATTCTGAAGTGGGCCCTACTTTAGAAGGCCCCAGACCCTCACCACCGCAAGACCCTAATCTCCCTTTGGAGCAGATAATGTGCCGGACAGCTCACCTGGCGGGACCCACTTAGGAATCCCGGCCTAAACTCACATGCAAGCATGGAGCCTCTAACCCCTCTCTTTTCATTACTGCCCTTACCTGCTTTATGGGTTACTCCTGTCAAAAGCAACAAAACAAGTCACATTCTAAATTCTTTCGCTTTTTCTTTATGGGGCCAACCACTACTCTATTTCTTTCTACGAGAACCAGAATGGGAATAACTGAATAAGAAAAAACAACACATTAATGTTCTTGAAATCAGCATCTCTATCCCTTTACTTGGCTCTTCATTTATTCCAACGGCTCCATTTCAAGCTTTGTTCTTGTTTCTGTCTTGTTTGTTGATGGCTAACAGCTATCCTCTTCGTAGCCATTATGTGTACTTTCAACTTAAAACATTGTTCATTAACAATTAACATTATCTTCATTAATAATATACTAAGACCTATGACGAGTCGAAAGTAGTTTCTCATCCCGAGAGTGTTTAGTTAAGAGTGGCAAATAAACTAACCGCATATTAACAAGACAATTGAGTACTCCTATGTGGTAATGCCTGAACTGAAGATGAATCAGTTCGTGTCTTGTCGGGTTCTTTCTTGCTTTTGTTCTGTTGCAAGAGGCAATAATGCCAAACTAAGCCGATTGTAACTCAAACTTCAGAATGCACATTAATTTTTGATCAATTCTGTATGCCTCATTGCCTTCCTCAGTTTTTTGTCTACATGTACCCTCTACAGCAGTGGGGCCTCTAAGTCCCAACAATTTTGCTGATGTAGGCTTACTAGATTCTCTTTATTCTTGTTTCTTCCATTGGCTCATCTCTTTCCCTTTTTCCCTCTTGGTTTAACTCAAAAGCACATTGCAATTCGCAACCCAGTAAGGCGCATGGAAGAGGATCAATTTCATTCAAAGGGGAATGATCTCATGGATAGAGCATTGAGATGCTGAGCCGTTGACAGGGGAACTATACACTGAATGTAATAATTAGATGTCAGGTTTACATTATCATTTAGGGTTTAATTCTTCACTGTGCTGGAGCCTGACATGAGGGCAGGGTCTCTCTGGTTCTCCTTTGGTCCACAAATTTCTCAGATCCCCACGTTTATGCCCCAGTGCCAGAATGGTCCCTGCATCAATGAATGAAACTGTCAGCATGACGAAGAGGAAGAAAAGAAAGAAACTGTTTGCATATGACTATAGCTGTTTGAGAAATTCATGGGCAATTTTCAGGTTATTTTCATCACAAAAACCCACCGAGGGTGAATGGAACAATGTAGAGCAGTGCTGGTTGGCCTTGCCCATTCATCAAGTTCAGTGCTAAGTATGTAATCATGAGACCTGTCAAAGTCATTCTTTCATTCAGTTTCAGTAATAAAAAAGATGTACTTTGTGGAAAGGGTTAGCTCGCCCAGTAACAAGACAAGTTGATTGCTAGTTAGCCTCACCAAAGCCATATGCAAATATTGCCCACAAGAAGTATCCATGTCGTAGATTCTTATTTGCCAGCCAATCGTACCTGCATGAATGGCCCATGCTGTTCATCAGAAAACCTTTACTCTTCAACTAGCATAAAGAAGGGGAAATTACCATTACACTTGTCTGCCAATGGCAAAACAACAAAATGTGTAAACAAGCACAAAAACCAAGGCATTTTTCAATTATTATTTGGCCCACTTGGACATTGTCAATTGTCAAAAATGTCCCCAGTTCAATTTTCCAAAAAATTAGTTTAATTTTTACTTGAAAGAAAAAAGTTACCATCTTGCTTTTGTCGAAGTTGGAGTTTGGGGTTCATTCTGACAATTTGAACGGTAAAATGGTTTAAATGACAAAAAGGACAGCTAAGGACTAAGGAGGAGCCAAAACCTGAGTGAGAATGCAACCAGCAGACCTGGTATAAGAATATCTCCAAATCCTATGATGTTGTAACCATGCCAAGGGTCAATAATGCGTGGAAACTTCAGCAGCATTGGGATACCATCTTCTCCACTTTTACCACCTTGGGCTACCTATTGGAAAATCTCCAGATATTAAATTACGTATTACGTGGGTTCTTTGTTAATGCCATGACATAGGTTCTTTATAAGTCTCATGATTTTATGTGAAAAATAAAAAGACTAACCTCAAGCATCACACTTTGATTGAACAGCTTCTTTGAGACAAACACCCAAAACAGGTCGTAGATAAATGCACAACTGAGAAGAACAGTGCCCACCTAATTTATAAAAATTCAAATCAAGTATTCTATCAATTGTAAAAGGAGCATATCATATTACCTTATAAAAAGCAACGGAATGTACAAATTAGACTTGAGTATTACATGATGACCCCCAGAGAGGGGGAAACTTTATCCATCTTAACATTACTTCATTAAAATAACTTCCTATAGATGATAGCATGAGCTGAAATTACTACCTTGAGATTAGGTATTTGCACAAACTGTAGAACTGTTATCATGAGCGCAATTCCCTGTTTGAATGATTATTGCAAAAAGAAAAGATTATTAAACCATGCTGCTTGCCAAGCAGAGACATGGTAGCTTGCCGTCAACTCAGTATCAAGAATAGAAACTCCAAATATCAAATTCAGTAAATGCATAGATTGTTATATTCAGTAGAGTTGGAAGAAGATTTAATAGTGAAATTGTTAGTAGAAATCAAAGGAAGCTCTCATAAAGATCATTTTCCTCGGAGGTACAGTGCCAATGCTGGTTTAACTTCCTGATTTAGCATGTGATGTTGACCTATAAAAGCCTGCAGGGTGCATATTTCTATGCACAAATGGTACTCTCACAGCTAAAATTTTGAACTTTTCCTGGAAAAATATGGAGAGAGAAAGAGGGAAAACGATTTTCAAGACGGGGGAAATCTGTTCTTACAAGTATGTCTTGACCGATCCAAGCAATGGAGGCTTTGCGATAAATTGCCCAAAGGATAGAGAATGCTATGCAGAATGGGAAAATAGCAAAAGTCAGGTACGAGATAGCTCCAAAGAAAGGAACTTTAATGTATGACTCGCCAGCTCGCTCGAACCACCTAATGGAACACAAAATGTATGATAACATGGTTAGAGTAAGACTCTACAGTGGGATTAGTTCTTGGTCTGATCCATTTTAAGCTTACCAAATGAAGACATAAACTAACTCATGGTAATATCAATAGAAATATGCCAAAACACGAAGTTCATAACTTTCCACAAGTAAGATCCTGATAAAAGGAAGATGAGATATTCGCACCTTGAAAATAAAGCAACCAAGCAAATTTGCAATCCCTGCAGGTACAAGAAACTACGGTTACGGCTAACTTAAAGCAGAACATAAAGTCAAAACCAACAAATTTGAATAAGATGATGGGAAAGACGTAAGATTTTCATGAAGCGCACTCATGCATTGTGGTATATATTGCCTTCTCTCTCTGTCTGCCTCTACGGATTTAGCATTTAGAAATTTGGACAGAGTTCAGTTAGGACTGCATATACCTCGGTTCCACCAATACAGAAGAGAGCAACCAGAAGCTTAATGAACCACGATGACAATGACATAAGTTTGTACGTTATGAACAGCAAAGTTGAAGCGGCTATAACAAAAAGGACTGCAGCTTTCATATTTATGTTTATAACATTACTAGCACCTCCATCTGTAGCACTTGGCATTTCCTCGACAACATCCTATAGAAACAACATTTGAAAGCGAGTGCTTAGATAAGCAACTATTCCAGTGCACCAAAAGAATAATGATGCTTAAGGAAAGGTGAAGTTATGTTTAAAACAGTTGAGAAAACTGACCTTTAATAGCTTGTCTTGTTCAATATCTGCTTCTCTGGTGTTCCATGCTGACCAATATGATGCACACACTATGGTCCCTATTGACATCAACCATAGAATTACTTCTGCTACGTCAACTGCAGGTTGACGTGGTGAGTATAGTTGCACAAACACTGCAGAAAGGGGGGGAAAAACTTTTAAAATGCTACCCAGAAAATTTAGGTAAAGGACAGGGAGACTCAAATGATAGGTCCAAATGTGGCTATTTCCCAACTTGATTTTTTGAAAGAAAAGCCAAGAACTTCTACTTAAAGAAATTTCTAAATGTTATGACATGTTAGTCTTGTTAGTCAATAGGAACAATTGCAACACGCTGAAAGCATGAACAATTCGTGTTAAAATATCATAAAGACTAGGAGAAGCCTCACCAGGTGAAGAGGTCGTCAGCATTTTCTTCAACCTTTTTCCTGCACTTTTTGGGAGTATGACAACAGGAATGTGTATGTCTAAAAGGGTTTCATCAGCTTCACAGACCATCTTGAAAAGTTCTGCTAGCAAAAATAAACTGGCTATAACAAATGGATAATGGAAGCAAACCTATCATTCCAGCATCTTTATCTTTCTTGATATTGAATATTTAAAGAGCTACTACCTCTAATCCTTAATATAAGAGCTAGTTTGATTTTTAATTTGGTTTTAAATATAAAACATCAATCCTCTTTATCTTTCATATTTATCCATTTTTTCCACGGTAGTCTTTGTAGTAGTTGCACATATTGAATGTTTCATCAAATGACACTTGATTAGCAAAAGTATTTTAGAAAAAACAACACTTATTTATTACAAATAACTAACTTAATTAATTTTCTTATTCTATTTAAATTAGTCAACTAGCTCTTATATTAAGGATCAGAGATAGTATTATATATGTGGTGCTCTGTTGTCAAAGCTTAACAAACAGGTTAATTTTACCTTCCTTAAAATTTATGATGAGGATAGCCGAAGCATTAGCAGCTTGTGCATTAGTTGCCTTTGTTGTGAATCTGCAGTGGCCTCGATGTGCCAAGATCACTTCTCCAGCAAGCTAGAAGAACCCAGATTATGCATGGTTATCTCAAAATCATTGCGAATTTTTGCTATCTCAGTGACCAAAGTACAGTTGATTAATATTATGTATGAGCAAATAACCTTATTGTCTGTACTGCAACACTCTCCAGGGTGTGAAAGAACAAGGCGAGATTTGAGAGCATTTTTTTGTTCTGATTCAATAGTTCTTCCGAATCTGGCATTCATGCCAACAAACCCAGCATCCTCTCTGCCATCCACCCAAGTTTTCACTTTTACCTGAAAAGGGAAAAGAAAAAAGAAAAGAAAAGAAGAGAAAATATTTATGATGATAACGGCCTACATATGATGATAGCCTAGATACAATCTAACATCACAATATCAATCTGATCTAAATTTTTAAACATCTCAAGGATATAACAACGGCAAAGACTGAGTTTTCGTGGGTCCTAAGATATTGAGTTTAGACCCAGAACTTGCAGACGCTCTTATATGACTCATTTCAAATTCCTTTGAAATGCATGTGTGGAGAAGAAGGATGTGAAACCAAACAAGATTCAAAGAAAAATTAGCAAAAGATGGAAAAGGGTATGGAATACCAGAACAAAATTGTTGCTGCAACCAGGCTTCCTGGGAGTGGAATCGCCATTGTCAGCAACGTTCCCAGCTATCATACGAGTGTCATGGAGCAGCAAGAATAGAGTAGAAACTAGAACAATCCAGAAAATCTTCTCCAAAGCCATGTATAATGTATTGTTGAGTACTCTTCTTCACAAGTTACAAATCCATTGCCGGTTCAGAGCACGAGATCAGTAACGGCATCAAGTCCAGAAAACTTGTTGCCCTTCTATTGCCATTACAAATTTTGTAGTGATATCTATATATATATATTCTTGTGCTCCGGTGGATTCCTTGGTTCCATCGAAGATTGCAGGATATTATAATAAGATGCGAAAAGGGACAAGGAAAGATTACCAGCAAGCCACGGCGGTGAAGATGACGCATGTTGCCACGACACGGCGTCCATATACAACAATACTTCCATGTTTCAGTGTGTATTGTTAAGGTGTTCGTGTTAGACTTTAAAGGAATATTTGATTCCAATTATTTCTATTATTTATTTACAATGGTCCTAATTTACTTGTTCGGTTCCTTTTCATCCATCGCTTTTTTTTTTGGGGGGGGGGGGTTTTAATTTTAAAACAATCTTAGTTATATTGTTGTTTCTAATAGTAATTATACAATTATTTTTATTAACTTTACAGGTTCAAAGCATCATTTTTTGACCAGCAGGTTCAATGCATCATCAATTACGAAAATAAGCAAAGGGTGTATATTGAACCGAACTTCAAACTTTTATAGTGAAATAACTACTCCCTGCAGTCCGTATTTATTTTTCCTTAAGGTTATGTCACATGATAGGAATCTTTAATTAATGTAGAATATTAGTCGCGCCATATATTGACTAAAAATTAAAATACCCCATTTAACCGTCTTTTAAATTTATCTAATTCTCTCTCTAAGTTCTGATATAGTTAAAAAATTTGACCAGATATGGGATAAAAATAATGAAAGATTCAAAACAAAATGAAAAGTTAAAACAACGATAGATATATTCCTCTGATTCTTAATATAAGACCCATTTAACTAATTTAATTAAATCAAAAAAGTTAAGTAAGTTAGTTAATTATAATAAATATGATATATTTTTTCTAAAATACCATAATCATCTTTTTTAATATCCTTTTTCTCTCACTTACTTGACTATGGTTGAAGGAGTATCCATAGCGGTAATTTAAAAAAAATTAATAAATATGATAAATAAGTCTTATATTTAGGATTAAGTCTTATATTAAGAACTGAAAGAGTATAATAGAGGGAATGACTTTAAAAATTTTAAACTTAGGAGGAATTTAGAATCCCAGAGCACTTTTTAAAAATGTTTTTATCCGAATTGAAACAAATTTCCCTTTATATATTTTTTTGCATACTATAAAATTTTTAAAATTATGATTTAATTTTTACCTAAGCACTCTTCTAGTTTTATAAGTTAACATATTTTCGCATAACTTGCGTCGACAAAAAGGCAAAAAGATTATTCGATTCCGTCTTTTTAATTTTTTTTATCATTTTTTTAACTTTTGTAATCCTCCCATTGTTTTAATTTGGGGTCAATTTAGGCCCAAAGTCTGTTTCCAAAAGCAAAAAATCAGCCCCTTGAAGGCTTTAACCGAAGAAAGAAGCCCAACAATATGAACCCAAAGTCAGAGACGCGCCGAGGTCGTTGTCCAAATTTGCCTAAACCTGCGGCGCACGCCAGTCTTCCTATATTTCAGCTTACATCATTCTGATATTGATTCACCACATATTATTTCATATCCTTAATATAACATCTAAATAACTAATTTAAAAAAATAAAAAATAATTAAATTAGTTATTTATAATAAATATGTGTTAAGTTCTCTAAATTATCTTAATCATGTATATTGAAACTATCCTTTGGTAAAAACTAATAACCCTTTACAACAAATAAAAATGCTTTGGATAAAATATCATAAATTTGGGAGGTAAATTAAAATGAATTAATCTCTTATATTTGATAACAAATTTAACCCCAAACTAGCTCTCATATTAAGGAGGGGATGTAGTACTAAATACTACCTCGATCTTTGATATAAGAGTTAGTTTGACTTTTATTTTGATCCTAAATATAAGATTCTAATATACTTTGTCTTCATATTTGTCTTTTTTTAAGGTAGTTCTTGTAGTTATAGTAAGAATATTTAAGGAAAGACAACACATTTATTACAAATAACTGATTTAATTAATTTTCTTAATCTACTCAAATTAATCAACTAGTTCTTATACTACCTCCTGTCCTTAATACAAGACCTTATTTGACTTTTATTTTGATCCTAAATATAAGACCCCAATCCATTTTGTCTCTCATATTTATATATTTTTTTCCAAGGTAATCCTTCTAACAATGATAATTCTAACCAATACACTTAATTAGTAATGATATTTTAGAAAAGACAAAACCTATTTATTACAAATAACGAACTTAACTTATTTTCTTGATTTCTTCCGATGAAAGCAGTATATGATAATATGCACTAACCACATTTGTCTGTGCATGAAAATCAAATATAGAAGATGAACAAGTTCAAGGTGTGACGTAGTGTGTTTTGAAAGTGTTGGTATATATGGCCCCAGAGCAATTTGCTAGCTAGCTAGCATGCAATTAAGCAATAATAACTGGGGAAAAAACTACGTTCAACAATAATACAATTTAATTTCGTCTTCTGTCTCTACTCAAACCCAAAAAAAAAAAAAATCGTTTTCTGTCATCTTAATTAGGGAAGAGGTTAATGCTTACTTTCTCACCATCAAAGTAATGGCAGAGAGCAGAGAGAAACAAGGGATTTGTGTAGGAGAGATGGCCACATTTTAAGAATCACCGAAAGCGACAAGCAACGATTGGAGAAACATGAATGTGCTGTTATTTGCATTAAAAGGAACAGACGTGATATAACACCTCCACACGTTAAACACAAATCTTCCACAAAATGATTGCAGGGCCCAGCGGCACCGATTTGTGTACATCATCATACATACCTGATGGTCTCAGACTAGAAGACAATGGAAGAAGTTTTACATATGAAATATTTCATTGTCATATATGGAATATATATAGTCTGCCTTTTTGGGGTCTTCTAAGCTTCATGCTTCTCTGTAACATGTGCTTCCATTTATATATATATCTTCAACGTCTTTGATCACAGTTTTTTCTACCCTCGGCTACGCAATTGTGCTGCGTCCTTGCTTGCTTCTGTGCAGAATGCTCCAGTTCTCTTGTCTCGCTCCTCAAATCATAGCCTAATCGGGCATCATATTTCTTTCTTTTCTTCGCATTTGGATCGGACTGAAGAGTTCTGGGATTATAAAGAAATCATCAAGCATGAACTCTGATAATCGGGTGTGTGATTCGTGAAGGTTAGCGTTGGTTAGCGTCCTAATTGTATGTTGTTGTTGGCGGATAATGAATCGTCTTCTCCAGGATTTAGAACTGATGATTTTGTAGTGACTCGTATTTGTGTGACCCACCTCTGGGGCTCACCCACTCCTTCAGTCGCATCGGAAGTTGAGAAAGTTCACCCATTTTCCCCGGTGTCATCATTTTTCCCCAGGTGGAATCTCCTTTCTTATGATCTTAATACAGAGAAAGATTTAGTTTCAACGTAAAAATTATACCATTTTGTGTTGAGTTTCACAATATAAAATAGCCATTCGGTCTTTTGAATATGATCATTCATTATTTATAAAAATACCCGTTTAACTATTTTCTTAGTTACCAATTTTTTAGGCATCCATCACTCCCGTTATTAATTTATTTATTTTTGCAGAATATCGTTTTCATTCTTTTGTGATAAAATGTTCTCTCAGTTTCTGGGCTCCAGCTCTTCTATTTGTGCTTGCATGGATGCTTGTCGTACTTTAGACTATATATGAAATTAATTCTTTTGGTTGAAACTGACGAAAGATAGCTGATAATATATATAGCTGGAAAACTAGCTAGCTCTTCTGTTCGTCATGGCGAGAGGATCATCTTCATCTCCAAAAGCAGCCACTGTGAGCCAAGTGTGCGAGACAGGTTGCAGCTCACGACTATACAGAATCTTGAATTTTCGAGGAAGGTCAAGCCACGAAAGATTGGTCTCTAATTCCAGACGCTCCAATATACATGCCATTGGTAAGAGTTCTTCGATTTTGTTTCTCGAAAAGATTTGAGTTGCCTGTATGCCACATTAACATGGCTTTATTCAAGAAAGAATGTTAGTTTCATCAACGCATATGCGTTTTTTGCCTCTCGCCAAAATATTCCGATAGTTAAAGAAGCTTTGCGATCAATTTTTTAATCACGTCTCTAGCTTATGACCTGTGAATTCGTTTTTCAAGCTGCAGAACATGGAAACCCAGGAAGTAGGCCGGATGTTCTCACCATAGTTGACGAAAAGAACTCCCAAAATCACACTAAAGTAAGTTCGTCAAAGTTGGTCACTTCAAAGTTCATGAATCCGAATCCACGATAAAGTTGCCAGCTAAATTAGCTACAGTGATTATTTTTGCTAGTTATTATATATTATCATGTGATCTCTTAATCACGCTGCATGCAGAATAATTAGTCCCTTGTTCTTGTTGAAGTTCTGTGAACTGTGAAGAAATATAGGTAAAGAGATAAGATTAAAAAATACGTGAGATTTGCCCTCGTAGAACTCATTGTCAGAGTTCGATCCTAACGGATTTGGATTTCTTCAATTACTTAACTGTTCAAGTGAAAAAAGAGATAAAGATAGAGGTGGGGCCATTTATTAGTGTAGATCCATTCTATTTCTACTTCTTTCCTCATTTGAGCGGTTAAACGATCGAGGTAATTGAAATCCAATCCTAATCATTTTTTTATCTATCTAGTCTCGATGTTTCAGATAAGTTTCAATTTAGAGTATTGATTTGAACAGTTTCTCATGGAGATTCGTAAATTGCATCACGCCCACTCTTCTCTTCTTAGCATATTAATAGTTATTTAAGAGGCATTAACGAAAGAATTCTGGCTACAGGTAAGTTTTAAGAGAAAATATTATTTTGGTTGCAAGAGTATAAGCTGTGTGAAGAATGATCAGGTAGCAATAGTTCATCAGGGAAATGAAGCAACAAACAAGGTTGTAGCTCGGAATTTCATCAACGGGAAATATCTGTGCAAAGATGGAGCAATCTCCCAACCTTATCAATTCTTAGATGCTTTACAGATTTTATA